AAAAGGAAAAGAAATTGGTAAATTATACACTCAGACGTCGCATGAGACCACATTCATAAAATATTGATATTGAACCCCACCCCTTGCCCCACCCAGGCCCCACCCTCTCCACACTTTGCCCCACCCGCTTCGACGAATCCAGCGTCATCTGTTTGATTTCCCGTTATCCCCAGGCGGCGAACCTGACCGACACGTTCCCCTCCCTGACCCCGAACGCGGTCAGCACCGCCCACGTGGTCCTCGCGGTCGCGACGTCACGCCTCCTGATCGACAACGCGGACCTCCGCCGCCGGCAGCTCGGGGTGATCCTCTTCGCGCTGAGGAACGTCCTGGACGTCCTGGACGGGACGATCGCGAGGGAGAGCAGGCGTCACCACAGGCTGGACACGTACGAGGGGTTCGGGTACTACTACGACGGGATCTGCGACGCGGTGGGGATCGCGAGCCTCATGTTCGCCTGCGTCTTCTATCTCCTGAAACTGCACGGGGCGCACGGGGCCGGGGCGTCCGAGGACGCGGTCCGGCTCATCGGGCTCTCCTCGCCCGTCAAGGAGAAGGGGGAGTTCGAGTGGACGAGGAACGGGGGGGGCCCGCTCACGAAGAGGAGGATATGGGTGCTTGCGGTGTGCTTCGGGGGTCAGATCATCATGAGCACGGTGGGGTGGAACACGGTCATGACGGGGTATCACGAAGTGTTGGAGGGGGAGGACAGGACGCCGGAGCAGAAGGTGAGAAATCTCGAGGGATGGTCCGCCCTGGATGGTCCGCCCTGATCGGTCCACCTTGATCGGTCCGCCCTGGATGGTCCACCCTGATCGGTCCGTGTGTTCAGGCGATGGCGTTGGAGGTGGCGAAGTCGTGGAGCATGTGGATGATCGCGTGGTGCTGGAGGCTGGCCAACTGCAACATGCTGTTCGACGTGGTCCTCGTCGCCATATTCCTCAACAAGGCCATCGTGAGTCCGTGACGTCACTCGCCCCGAGGCGATGCGGTCGATGAACGGGTCCGTTTCTCTCCCCCGGGACAGGAGTTGTTCCAGTGCTTCCAGGTGATCGGGTACCTCGTGCTGGGGCCGCTGATCCTTCTCTCCGAGTTTCATCTGGCGGCGGTGAAGGACTCGATGCTGGGGCTCGCGCCGCACGTGCAGTAGGGGAGGGAGGGAGGCGTCGAGGGGAGGGAGGGAGGGAGGCGTCGAGGGGAGGGAGGGAGGGGGGCGTCGAGCGGGGG